GAGAGAGAGAGAGAGAGAGAGCGATGTGCGGTTTGCCTATGATGCCGATGCCGCGGGTTATCGTGGTGTCATAGAGCTTTCTTCCAGGTCCCCAAAGCCTCTTCTTTGTAAAACGACCCTCGCAGGGGGGAGCGATCGGAGAGAGACGAGACAGACACAACATGTCCACACTGGACCCGAGCCGATTCTTCGTCTTCACATGCCTCTCTTTGAGAGCCAGGCTTTCGAAATTAGGACACAGCGAACATTGATGCGAGTCTGTCCCACCGCCCCCGAAAATGTTCCCCGCCTGAGATGAACTCGATACGAAGCAATAGAGCTCTGGCTGCACTTGGCCACATCTAGGTGCAGCAGTGCAGCTGCACGCTTTTCTCTTGTTAATATCCATGTTGTCTTTAAGCTCTGTCGTGCGTGGTTCTGAGAAGACGGATAACTTGGTGTGAAAAGGTGCGGAAATTGCCTGCCTCTACCTTAAATTGCGCTCCCGAACAGCTTCGGTCGGCTGTTGCAAGCGAGTCGGAGAGAGGCACACGAAAACTTGAGCGACCAACTAGTTGCGACGGTGGTGAAGCAAGAACAGCAGGTAGTGTTGGCACGCTTGGCACGCCGCATCCGAAGGCAGTTCAAGTTATCTCACGACTTAGCCTTGTTTTGCTGGCTTGGATGCGACAACTGCCTGACTGTCATGACTGTCGGAGGAGCATCCGGTCGAAGCGCCAGCAGAAGCAGAGTCCCAGTTGCTTGATGCGAGCAGGAGAGGGAGAGAGGGCTTGGCCTAATCTGAGTTGGAAGGTCAGGCCAAGAATTTCACGCTTGCGCCTTGAATGCTGAAGCCGCCCCGAATAGTCAGGAACCGAGACTAACAAGGTTCGAAGGCTGGACGGCCTAGCATGTTAGCAGAACTTCAGGAGAACTGTTTTGCTTGGCAGTCTTGTTGTGCTTCCCGGATGTCTGCATCGTTCTGGCTATGATTTGGCTGCTGCTGGCAGTAGAGTGACGATGGCTTGACACACAAATGGCTCGCTGCCTGCGCTAGATTTGTGTATGAGACACCGGCGAAAATGAGTCCCGGGCCCTAAATGTCTGAGTCTAGACCTGACCCTCTGCAACTCTGCACCACTGTAGTAGTATCTGCAGTGTGCGAAGGCAATGATTGAAGATTTTGACATCGCTTGTGACATACACACCTTCTCTCTAGCAGCCTGCGACTGCGACAACTTGAATCTGCCGAGCAGCTCGACCACCGGTTGGCTCCCAGGCGCACAGAGCCCGGGGGCGTCGAGGCGGCCTCGTCCAGAGTGCCGTCCGTGGCCTGGGCAGCACGAGGTTGAGAGTGTGAGAGTGCAGTGACGTCGGAATCCACGTGGCGGCAGAGCCGAGGCTCCTGCGGCCGGGGGCGGCTTGGTCACGGGGGCTCCCTCTGCGGCAACGCATGCCACCAGTGCAGCACTCTACCCCATCGCAGCTTGGCAAAGTTTGGGTTCCAGGATGTGCCCAGGGAATGTAGGCCCTAATCTGGGCCGCTAGGCAGGCGGCATGCAGAGACGAGAATACAATTCTGCTTAAAGGCTTGCTCTGGGACTCGAGGGAGGGACAGCATCCAGGCCTCTTGAATTCAGTCGTCACTTGTGCAGTTGTGCAAGTGTTTGACTAGCAAGGAGAGTTGTGTCACCTGTGTCTGAGCATGCTTCGGCAGAACGCTCTAGCTGAAGACGCATCAACAAGACTAAGAATGGCTCGCAACTGATGGCGCTCGGTAGTTGTCAGTACCATGCTATCTGTTCACGACAGCAGCCACAGGCCTCAATTCTTGGAGGCTTGACAGATGCTTCAAGCCCTCAAGCCCGCGTCAACTATGGACCTGCACGTGTCCTGAATTTGGCTATGTGCCGCAGTACCACATCAGGCAAGCATGGCAGCTTTCTCGTTTACTCCTGTGCTTTTCCGCAGGCCAAGCGCGACCGAGCAAGCAGCAAGTACGTAAGCCGTTGAATGACCATCTGCAGTAGGTCGCTTATGCGATGTCGCCATGGCTCTCCATGCCGTCCTGGCCGCCCACAACGGGTTGGGACGCTTGAGTTGAGACAAGCTCGTTCCCATCGAGCTCTGCAATTTCAACAGTTTTGAGAGTAGGATTCTTCAGTGCAGGGGGGTGAACTAAACCTGAGGATACCTGGCCCTCCACGCCGTTCAATTCGGCGCACAGCCACTTCTCGCCAAACGATGCATTGCCAAGGGCACTCCAGTGCCAAGTCTGGTCTTGGGTGCGGAGGCTGCCAAGGCCTCCAGGTCCCTCATAACAGGTGCTTGTAGAATTTGATTGCGATCTAGTGACCTATAGTGCGCCGGTTTGCTATGTGACAGGTCATCGCGTGTTTGGGATTGCTGAAAGTTGAAGGCAAGCTCCAGGACCGAGGGAAATTTCGGGTACTTTGCAGGTAGTGGAGCAACGGCCACTGCAATGACATTAGACGTTTTAGCAGGTGGAGATGAATAGAGTGTCGTACATGGACTACAGCAGCAATATTTCCAGGTGCCACGAGCCAGCTCTCCATCGACGACAATAATATTGCTTATATGGTCATGCATGAGTGTGCTATGCCGTATTGTGTTATGTATCTACAGCTGTATATATCCTAGTATCTATCTGCTTGTCTATGTATGTTTCTAACTGGCGTCTTAATGTATCTATCTATGTATCTACCTACCCAGCCTGCCTAGCCTGCTTACCTACAGCACCTGCCCACCTGCCTGCCTACGTGTCTACACGCCCGCCCGCATACCGCCTACCTGCCTACTGCCAGCTACTTACATCAGTACCTACCTAACTGCCTCGGCTGACCACCTGGTTACCTACCTACTTACCTTCCCGCCTATCTATCTATCTGTCTGTCAGTCTGTCTGACTGTCTGTCTGTCTGTCTGTCTGTCTGCCTATCTTTCATCTATGAAAGTGTCTGGCTGGCTAGCTGGGTGGCTGGCTGTCCGTCTATGTATATACGTATTTATGTATCTATCGTGGTGATCTGTCTGTCGATCGATCTAACTATTTGTCCATCTAACTATGCATCTATCTGTCCATGTATCTAGCTACTCATGGAGCTACCCGTCCAACTATCTGTATATCTATCGGTCGATCGATCTAATTTTAACGCTACGCCGCCCGCCTCGGCTGTGTAGCGGCAGGGCGAGGGGGCAGTCGATGTTTTTCAATGCTAGGGCGGCCTGTCCAACCCCACCCTTAGACGGTTGAGAACTGGTACAAGGGGTGGGGGAGGGGGAGGGGGGGAGGGGGAGGGGGGGTGAAACACTGAATGTTACACATCCAGGTGCCTGTCTGTTTCACGTATCACTTGCATGTATCCATGCCTGTTGCTCAAGGTTCTAGTGCAGTGGACTACAGCTGTGCGCCTGTAGCAAAAGAGACACCTGAGTGCCTGTGTTCCTGTACGCCTAGCGAGGGGATACACGTCCAGGTTACATCTCAACGTGGTAGCGGAGCTCCCGGGAAACGGGAAGCTTCACACTTGTGGAGGTACCCGTTCGGTACTCTCTACACAGGTGGAGGCAACCGGAATACCCGGTGTGCTTCACTCAGGTGAAGGTGACCGGAGTCTCTCCGGCACACTTCACTCAGGTGAAGATAACCGGAAGAGGTTTCTCCCGGGGCTCGATCCAAGAACAGCGCAATGGCTAGCCACTCTGCGACTATCTTTGAGCATGAAGGAGGAGATGATGACTACCTCCTCCACGAAAATGAATCTTTCGCGACTAATCATCGTCATCTCAATGAATTACACCGTCTTTCAGCTTTCCAGCAGGTGACCACCAAAGTACCTCCATCTTATGATGGCAGAAGCAGTTGGTTTGCCTATGAAGATGCGATCGATGACTGGTGTGACATTACTGAGCTAGACAATGATAAGCGTGGACCAGCTTTGAGAAATCGGCTAGAAGGTGAAGCAGCAATCCACAAGAGACTTCTCGACAGAGATCGCCTGAAGGACCCGAACAACGGAGTGAAGTACTTCAAGAGTTTCCTGCGGCCGCTTTTCGTGAAGGGAGCAGCGAATGTTTTTCTTTATCGCTTCCAGCAGTTCATGAACATGCACCGTGGGAACGGAGACATGCTTCGTTGGATTACCAGGTTTCAACTCTCTGTTCAGAGAATGCAAGAAGCGTGGAACGATACCTATCTGCCGATCGAGGACCCGAACAATGCAGAGGTCAGAGCTTTCATAGTAGGACTTCCTCCAGAAGAACAAGAAAACCTTACGCCAGCTCAGGCAATGGAGAGAGCCAACGAACGGCTCAGAGAGCAGCATGCTCGGACCATTCCGATCACGCCCAACCTGGTCGCTTTGATCTTTGTGTCCCTGTCTGATCTGACACAGGATCAGCGTCAGGTGTTGACATCACTGATGGCGCATCGGAACCGAGTCCTGGCTGACTACAACACGGCCGAGCTTCGCGAAGTCTACCTGGAGATCTTCTGTACGACCAAGACTACCGTCGACAATCCACTCCTCGCTCCTTCCGGCCACGGTGGCCGCAAGACCTTCCTTGTGATCGATGAAGGATATTTGAACGATCATGAAGGCTACTGGGTCGAGGACGAGGAAGATGGCACCGAAGGTTTCCTCGAAGCGGATGAGGACGCCTTCTGGGTCTACGACGACGAGAACTATTCATGGTTCCAGCGGCGCTTCCAAGGCCGCAAGATGAGGCGCGGATTCAAGGGCCACCGTAAAGGCAAAGGAAAAGGTGGCAAAGGATCCAAAGGAAGGCGCTTCTTCAAAAGGAAGAAAGGCAGGTCACATCTTGCCGAAGAATCAGAAGCATGGCAAGCAGAAGGACAATGGCAAGATTACCAGTGGAGCGATCAGTCCTGGGATGACTGGTCCTGGTATGAGTCTGAGGAATCCTATGCAGCCAAAGGAAAAGGAAAGAAAGGAAAGAAGGGCAAAGGAAAGAGCAAGTTTGGCAAGGATGGAAAAGATGGAAAGTCCGGAAAAGACGGACAGAGCCAGCTTGCTGATGCTGCCCCGAGCGGCACCACAGCCGCCACAACCTTCTTCGTTGAACATCTCAACACTCCGAACTTTTCTTTCATGGCCACCGAAGAGAAGATCAATGAGATCGAGGAAGCCTTCATCTCTCAGCCCTTGACGCCGACCGCGATGGTGTTGGACCTGGGATGCACGAGAGCAATGGCTTCGAGAGTGGCCGCACAGGACCTCATGGAGTTCTGTGACAAGAACCAGAACTGTGGCATATGGCACACCATTGCTGAGACCACTTCTCAGTTCACCTTTGCCAATTCCGAGTCTACCAAATGCAACCAGAAGTTGGTCATTTGCATGTACGACCGGGACTTTGCAGTTCAATCCACAGAGTTCGACATTGTGGAACAAGGGCATGTTCCCATTCTCATGTCCTTACCTCAGATGCGCAATCTTCGTTTCCAGTTCGAGCTCCATCCGGAAAAGGCCTTACTCAGCAGCCCTGTGCTGGGAATCAAGGATGTGAGGCTGAAGGTTGCACCCAGCTCACACTTGGTACTTGATCTTCTTGAACTCAGTCAGCTGATGTGGAATGTGCGTTTCAGCAAGCATAAGAAGTCGAGCTTCCTCACCTACTTCTCCCACTACGAGTACGGCTTCCATCAGAAGACCGAGGGATGCTGTTCTCATGAACAGGTACCCGACAATCTCGTGTTGGCGACTGATGATGAATGGGTGATCAACGAAGCCGACATGGAAATGATTCGCATCCACAAGAAGATGAGAAGAGTCAAGTACGAACCCAAGGCGGGTTATGTGCCAATTCCGTTGGAGTATCTGGACACCAAGCGCAAGACGATCATGGAGTTCTCCAAGGGAAAGAGCGTTACTCAAGAAGATGACTGGCGTTCTTCTGAGCTTTCTTCAACAAGAACTACTGACTCTTGGAAAGGCAAGACCATTTTCAAGATTCTGCCTGGTGGCATCGAGAGTAGAACCTCGGTGCCAGCCAAGTCCAAGGATCCAACCCGTGGAAAGGTAGGATCTCCAGAGGACATGGTTAGCGCAGGTAAGCCTGAAGACAGCTCGAAGAACACAGGAGCATCCGGAAGCTTTCCGCAGGGAAAGGCACCGGCAAAGAGAAGGATTCGAGCCAAGGGAAGCTTTCCACAGGGAAAGGCACCCGAGGAACCGGCTCCTCCTCCTCTTGCTCCTGAGGATGATCCGGATCTTCAAGAGTACGAACCTTCCGAACCGGGGGATGCAGATTTGCTTCCTCCGAGTCCTCCGAAGGCCCCAGAGCCACAGTCGCTAGAACCTAGGAGGATCGCGCTTCCGTTGCCAGGCCACGAGGTCTCAAGGGCTTCTCCGCAGTATCAGCGCATGTTGGAAAAGCTGAACAATGATGTTGAGCTTTACAAGTTGCATGTGAAGCATTACCACATGAGTCCTGCTCAGTTTCGACGCAGGACCAGCATGCTTGGTCTGCCAGGAGAGATCTATGACAAGTACGACCGCATTGTCAAAGGCTGTCGTGTTTGCAGCACCTCGGTGCCTACGCCTCCGCGAGCCAGAATCGCAGGGTTAAGAGCATCATCCTTCGGTGATCTCATTTTTGTTGATCATGAAGAAATCAAGTTCGGTACTAAAGCCTACTTGGCTTTGGTCATCATTGATGGTGCTTCAAATCTTCTGTGGGCTACGGCTCTTACAAGCCTGGAAGCGCCAGAGACTCTGGGAGCTTTTAGACAATGGACAGAGGAGAACAACTGCGTTCCTAAGGGAATCGTAGGAGATCAAGCATTTTTCACGCCACAGTTCATGTCTTACTACAAGTTCCATGGCATTACTCCGTATCCATGTGGACCACGGACTCCTTGGCCTAATCGAGCTGAGACCGCAGTGCGTCTTTTCAAGCGCACCTGGGCAATCATGGCCAAGGCCTTAGCTGATGAGGGTTATGCAGAGAAGGTGACTGTTCGTCAAGCAGTCAAGAAGGTGGCCTGGGCAAGAAATTGCCAGCTTACCGTCTCAGGCTATTCTCCTTTGGAGATAGCTACAGGAAGACGGCCACCAGACTTGTTTGATGTCGAGAACAGTTCTCCTGAACAGCTCTCTGCTGAACCTGCCGAGGAGGATCGAACCACTCTGGAACTCCAGAGGATTGCCATGCGGGCTCATCAAGAGGCTAGACAATCACTTGACCTTCGGAAGGACCTTGCACGGAGAGTCATGCCGTCTGATGGTCCTTACTCGAAGGGTGACCGCGTGTTTGTTTGGCATAAGGATGAGTCGAAGAAGAAGTCTGAAGGAACCTGGGTCAGAGGCATAGTTGTGTCACAGGAAGGTGCCATGGTGTTGGTTGAAGTTCATCGTGCCGTTCTTCGGGTTAATCAGTCGAAGGTCA